CAGGCCGGACGCGCTCGGGGCACGTCGAGGCCCGCATCGCTACTCAGGCGGCACGATCAGGTCCTAGTCGTGATGGGCTAAAACAAGCTTATATGCGTAACTCGTAAGTAGCAGAAAACTGTTACAGCCAACGAGCAGGAAGGAGTGAAACTTGTTGTCAGATTTGTCCCTACTTGTCCAAAAAATGCTGCTCTGTTTTGGAACCGGGGAGATTTCCCACCATCAGGGAGGTGATGTTCTGGAGATTTTTTGGTAGTGACCGTTGGTGAATAAATATCACAGCTGCAGTTTGTAAGATGAAGCTTGATGTATATGGCCTACCTGCTGTAGTTGTCCTTGATAGCAGGTGGGTGGACTAAAAGATGATCTCTTCCCATTTCTCTGTTCTTAAGTGAGTATTAAAATTGTCTATTCTCTGAAAAAGAGCTAGTAAATTATAAGAAAAAACCTAATCTCCTTTGAGTGACAGTGGCTCATATTTGCTTTAAGTATTGTCCAGCTACTACTAAAAATACATAGATTTTTAAATCACTTGGGTGAGTTTGAAACTGCACAAAGTATTCCTAAGAAGAAAAAAGTCATGATAATTCTGACTTCCTTAGGCAGTATCTTACACTGTCATGCTTTTGAGATGTTTTGGACAGCTCCTCAAAATTAATGGAGTATGTATAATTAAGGACTTTTTGCATCCATTTCATCAGTTGCCACAATGAACTCTTATGTTTTTACTGTATTTGGTTTAGGAGTATTTTATTGATCAGCTGAGGTCAGATGGAGTTGTTCATCTTCCTCGGCGTGTTACCAATGAAATTACAAATAATACTCGATACGAATTTTACACACAAGGAGGAGTCATCTTTGCAACAAGTCGAATCCTTGTGGTAGATTTCCTTACTGACAGAATTCCTGCAAACCTCATTACCGGTAAGAGTTTAATGAAATAAAAGTAAGACTGGTCTGTTTGAAAATACATAAAGCTTAATTCTGTATTAAGAGTTATAGTTGCCAGTATTGACATTGAAGAATTAGTCATTTTTTCCCCCACAAAGACTGAGGTAAAAGGAGCAAAAATGTAGTTGGGGCTTTTTTGTGGGGTTTTTTTTTGGGAGGGGGGGAGGAGGCAGGGGAGTTGGTTTTTTTAATGGCTTTCTTTGCTCCAAACTTGTTTGCTTTATTTAATCATATAATTTGAGAACATCCACATTATTTTTAGATAATGCATTTGTATGACTTTCTGATATCAGTAACTGGCTGGAAAACAAATCAGCAGTTAAACTGTGCCATTGACATTGAAACATAAAATTCAGGTGGGCTTTCCAAGGAGAATAATTGATTGCACTTGGTGAAATAATGTCCAGAATACTCTCAGTAAATGGCCTATGACTGAAACTGATTTTAGATGGTGTGTTTTATCAACCCTGCACGCTACTTATTTTTTGCATTAACGGATTACTTCTGGTGACTTTTCCCATGAAAACATGGGAATATCTTACTAATCTTTGTCTTGACATACCTTGGACGCTATCTAAATAGCAGTATTATGAAGTAATGCTGCTCCTATCCTTGTAAAGATTTTGGGAAATAGCTTTTGGCCTTTTTTGTTGTTACATAGAAGTTATACACGCAAAATGTTACAATTACTTTTTTATTTTCATGTTCTTTTCCCCTTCTCCCTGGACCCCCTGTAGTTTTTATGTTCTCGTCTAAGCTGGAAACCCTGTTTAAAGCCTGGAGAGATAGTAAAATCTAAGAGGCAGCAGTATAAGACTATTTTACTGTTATCTAAATGTTAATAGCTCTTTAATGGCTAAACATAACTGAATATTGAATGCTTAGAAGAACATAAGATTTTGCTTCAGAAGCTGTATCCCCTTCATTTTAGTCAATGTATGACAGGCTCTAATCTGTAAAACATTCTGAACAGTCTTATGCTAGAGCCAAAGGACACCAGATCTGTCAATTCTGATATTTCTAGATTGAAAAAAAGTGAACAAATTTTCTGGGCAACCTACTTTATTTCTCTTCTTCCCCTTGATGCTTTCCTCTCTGCCTTTCTGCCCTACCAAATAAGGGGAGGGGGAGAAAAGCAGACCTCTGGACTTTAGTGTATTTCTTTTCATACACATAAAGATCTAAAACTTAGTGCTATCCTGTGATGACAGAGCTGTTACAGTTGTTGCATTGTCACTAGAGGTCAGTGTGGCAGCAGCTTTGATAGACTTGCTGCCTCATTTAAAACTTGAGTAACACGTGGTTCTGTTGGAAACATATATTATCTCTGTGTGAAATTGTATGACAAAAACAAAAAAACCTTGTAATAGTGTTTCTTGCGAAGTTAACGTAGCAAAAAAAAAAAAAAATCAGTAAAGTGTTTCCAGGTATTACAAATGGTGTTTATAAAATAAGTGTGGAATCATATGGGAATTAATCTGATGAACTCATAAATTCAGCTAAATGAATATAAGAAATTATCACTGCAGTCAAGAGGAATTATTCCTGGTGATTTTGTCCACATAGAAATAATGTACTTAATAGCGTAGTAAAACTGATGTGACTTGGTGTAGTAAACAGTGGCAAGTTTTTTTTACCAAGGCTTACATGGTAGTATGAACTCACTTAATAAGCAGAGAAATATTGACTAAAAGTAGGAAGGTATTAGAATAAACACATAGTCTTTCTGCTCTGCTACAAGTTCTGTCTCCTGTGATGTCCTTCAGAGTCACATCTTGACAAATGAGAAGATGTTCAGAAATACATACACTCGTTACTGTGTGCTGAAAAATTTGCTTCATAGGAGAGATGTAAAAATATCGAGATAGAAAAATACCTTTTAGTGGATTATTCCATGACTTGATCATGAATGGCTAGCAGTTATATGGAAGTCTTTTTCTTATAGCTGTTTTTTCATTTACAAAGCAAAGGCATATTAAAGTCAATGACTGAGTTCTGAGTTGAAGAGACTTGTTATAGAAATTAAATGCACTGTAAGTTTGTCAGCTTATGTAGGCACAAGGTAAAACCTGTGATGTTTGATGTCCTTTGCTTCCATGTTAGAAAAGCATTTATTATTCCACTGGAAGCTGTGAATGGATAAAAGTACCACTTATGCCTCACTTCACTAGGGGGAGAGTGAAAAATTGTAATGTGCTATTTAATACAATCAAGCGTGAGAAAAAATAAGCCTTGGTTTTAACAGGTCTTGGCTGAGTGAAGTGTAAATTCCAGAAGTATTCACCCCAAATGCTTAATGTACTTAAACTATTGTTTCAATTCTCTCTACTAAAATGTGCACAATAAATATTTTTTTCCTAATGCACGCAATAGCCATGAAAAAAATCGGTGGTGTAATCATACAGTTGACGGTACCTTCTGTCCTCAAGTGTGAATATGAATATCAGAAGGGGGGGAAAAGCAAAATAAATGTTTTCAGAAGTTCTTTGATTATATAAAGACTTGAACTGTTACCCATAAAACATACTTGACAAGTCTGTAATTCCAGAATTTCTGTAACAAAATAATTCAAATATCACAATCTCAAACATATCAAACTTGCTTTGTTGTAATACTGTGTTATGTCTTGCATTCACTTTTACTCCTTTTAAAAGGCTCAAGATCAAGTTTTGCCTTAGGAGTAAAGAATTTTCTAAGCTAATAATTCCTGCCACTCAAGTACAAGGTTTCTTTTGCTAAAGATGCATCATTAACCCAGTTCTGTTATTTGGGGATTCCATGGTACTGAAACTGAAGAATCGCTTGGTTTGAACCCCTGAAAGTTTGTTCAACCATTGCTTTAGAAGATTTAATTTCTTACTAGACTTTATTTAAGAAAAAAAGGTTAAAAGAATAAGACAGTTTTGAGGGAAAATCTGCACAAAATTGGACTTTTCTTTACTTTTTTGTAACTTGAAAACCTTTTATTTTGCCAGGCATTTTAGTATACAAAGCGCACAGAATCATTGAGTCCTGTCAGGAAGCGTTTATTTTACGACTTTATCGCCAGAAGAACAAGCAAGGCTTCATTAAAGCTTTTACAGATAATGTGGTTGCATTTAACACTGGCTTTTGCCATGTGGAAAGAGGGATGAGAAATCTTTTTGTCAGGAAACTTTACCTGTGGCCAAGGTAAGGCACCTCTTTACCTCACTGGAGAGTTAAACTTTTTTTTTTTTTTTAAAAAAGGATATTAAAATGGGTTCCTAAGAAAACTAGGTGTCTGTCAGCACACTGCTAATCTGTGTTCCCTCTTGTATTCCCAAACAAATTCCATTCAATTTTTGACAGAAGTAGGGGTTTTAAAGATGCTAAATTTCTGTAAGTATTTTTGAAAATGGACCCAACTTAAATCTATAAGGGGCTGAACTTTATGGTAAAGCTGTCCTTTTAGCCAATAGAAATCACAGCAGAAAGTGACATTCTTCATAGCTTAAGAAAAACTTCACTTATTAATCATTTAAGCCATGAAGTAACAGGAATACAGTCTGTCAGTTCTGCTATTCATGGAGGTATTTGTTTCCAGCTGTGATGAAACTCCATGGATCTCTTTCTATACGTTAGATTTTTTTAATCTTCTTTTACAGGTATGTTGTGCATGAAGAATATTTCTTGAATGACTGATAGAAACCAGATTGCCACGTTTGTGGCATGCGCTAAGTCTTTCAGGAGTAGAGCCACAAATGGAATTAGGCATTTGAGCCGATTGCTAGAGCAAGGCAGTGCTCTAGCCTTGGCCAGGAGGTCTGCCCATTTGTTCCTATAGTCCAGACTAGAAGGTGTTTCACTTGTCTTAACATACTGTTACTCTGCATTGTAAACTCTGTAACAGTCTCTGAACCATGAAAAGACCTAGGGGCGCAGCATGCAGTAAGGAAAATGCCCACTGAGTTTCAGAGGTCAGCAGACATTGCATTCTCTGAGCCTTGTTCTGTTAGTAAAAAACAGCTGGCATCTATATACCTGTACAGCCAGATTGGCTATAAGGGCAGCGCTTTAACAAGGACCTGCTGCTTACAAACAGAAGCTAGGAATGTCACGGAATCTGCTAGTGGATCCATGGGATTCCAAAGGATTTATGATCCCATTCCAGTTTATCCCTTATGAGATTTTTTTGGTTTTGCTTTAATATTAGTTATGTGTAATAATGATGTAGAATCTAATGCAGAAATTTTCCATGGGTCATTCACGAGCACCATTGGCTCACGTGACTAGAAAGACTACAGTCTTGATTGTAGAATAGATGGTTTTCTGAGGCTGTTCATAAGATTGCAATCTTCACATCTGTAGAAACTGATTTTTTGCAATGAACTTACCTGTTTACATTCAAAACAATTGTAATTGCAGTTTGTATAAACTTCTGAGTAATTATAGGTCAAGCCAACCATCCATGTAAATCTTAATAAGCTGTTTTCCTCTTAGATTTCATATAGCAGTGAACTCATTTTTAGAGAAGCATAAACCTGAAGTGGTGGAAATACATGTGTCGATGACCCCTGCTATGCTTGCTATCCAGACTTCAATCCTGGACATTTTGAACGCATGTCTGAGAGAACTCAAACGTTATAATCCAGCTCTTGAAGTAGAAGATCTATCTTTAGAAAATGCTATTGGTAAACCTTTTGACAAGGTAACCATTTTGCTGTGTCTAACTAAAGGGATGTAGATCTTCAAACTGTATGTCATGCAAACAAAAATATTATTTGTAAAATAAATAGCCAGCAGCAACTGAGTATTCTCCCATGACATGTTTATTATTGGTACAAGGAGAGAAACTGTATTAATCTGTAATGGTGATGTTATAGTTGTCAGTAGGGTTTTGGTGTATTGGCACTATTGTTCATAGAATCATAAAATCATTAAGACCTCTAAGTTCATCAAGTCCAACCGTCAACCCAGCACCACCATGTCTACTAAACCATGCCCCAAAGTGCCACGTCTACGTGTTTTTTTGAACACCTCCAGGGATGGTGATTCCACCAGGTCTCTGGGCAGCCTGTTCCAGTGCTGCTTCCTTCATTTCTTAGGTCCCTGCAGTAAGAACATCCTGATTCATGGGGTTTTGTTACTTATTATTATTAATTATAAAGATGGCTGCAATTTCAGCTCAAAATACTTTAGAGATAAGTATGCAGTTATTCCCCCCGCCCCCTTTTTTTTCCTCTTGAATTTCCTGCTTGATTTTTTTATTTTTTCCGTTAGGAGAAGCACTGTATATAATATATAACATGCACATGCATCTGTTGTATCTTTTAATCATTATTTGTCGTTAATTGTGCGTGCATTGTTATTTTTGGCACATCTGCCATGTTTGGCATGCATACGCTTTCTGTAGGGTAAAATCATAAACTTCAACCATCATAGTGAAACATGGTTATTTGTTACCTATGATTAAATATTGATGTGAGTCCTGTGCTTTAAATATTTGTAGGGTTTTTTCTGATGCACTGTAGGTTGCATATCTGCATGGTACTCATGTTGAAAATTAAATGACATTATAATGTTTTCTACTTTACCTAAATAATGGATACTAAAGGCACAGGCTGATACCAGTAAAATAAGGTGGTGTTTTACCCATATTTTATTGTTATATGGAAAGGAAAATATCTACTGAAAGCATTAAATGATATACATCTGCTAATCGCTGAAATTATTTACATAAAGGCATCTGTATTATGTTAACTTTGCAAAAAAATATTATTTAATTATTATCTCACCATCACATCTTCAACTGGGAATGTTTAAAAACTTTGGGAAACTAGTGGCATCCCCTGTAAAGGAAAAAAAGTGCATTCTTACCTTGATTAGTATAGTATATATTTGATATCCTGAACTTTCTGATTTATATTTCTAGACAATACGCCACTATTTAGATCCTCTCTGGCATCAGCTTGGAGCTAAGACAAAATCTCTGGTCCAGGATTTGAAGATACTACGTACTTTGCTACTGTATCTAACTCAGTATGACTGTGTCACTTTCCTTAATCTTCTGGAGTCACTGAAAGCAAGTGAAAAAGCTTTTGGTGAGAATTCAGGTAAAAACTGAATAACCGTACAAGTTAATGCATGAAACAGTGAAATGTTGATATTTTTAATTAACATTGCTGAACACATGAAGGTATCTAATTAGGTTTTATATAACCAGCCATAAGGCTGTAGGTTTTTATTGACAGATAATGCTTTCATCTTCCCACTTAACTGCTGTTACTTCACAGTGTGAGATTTGCATCACATTTCTCTCTTTTCTTAACCTAGTAATTACATAGCAAGCAGGTAGCACAGGTATTCTAGATGAGAAACTTGGGGCTTTTACTGGAAAGGGTTGAAACACATACACATTGCAAATGTCAAACTACTACTGCTTTCTTTCCCTCTTTAGGTTGGCTGTTTCTTGACTCCAGTACTTCAATGTTTGTAAACGCTCGAGCTAGAGTTTATCGCATTGCAGATGAGAAACTGAATCAGAAAGGCAAAGTCTTTGAAAAAAGTGATGTAAAGAACGAAAATGGTACTGATCATTCCTAATTTTAAGTTTGAGAGTGTCACACGATTTCAAACGCTCTGCATATTATTACTTGTGTTCTGGTTCCCTACGTGATCTTACACAGCTCAAGATCTCAATCTGTTAGCTGGGATAAGTTGAGATGTAATCTTAGTTCAAAAAGCATATAATAAACAACATAAAATGGAGTCACAAAGAAGTAAGAGGTTCTTCTAAGCTTGCTCAGTTGATCATTGGGAGAGCTTTTATGGAATTGTTTTTGAATTATGTTGGTGTTTAGCTTGATCATTTTTATTTTATGCGAAGGGATAGGAGGCTGCCATTGTTTATGTTAAGAAAAAATATATTCAGGAGTTTCAGAATTGGAGAATGAATTAATATTTTAACTTTTTGCTTCACTAAAGCACTTATCCCCATTTTTAAATGTTTCTGTAAGAGTGTTCTCCAATCCGTCAGCATAACAAGTTGCATATGTAGGCTGTTGAATATTATATTTGCCAGCAACCATCACGCTATTGACATCTAACTACTAATTTAAAGCTCTGAAGGATATTTTGGCTGTAAGAGCTGCTCAGTACAATTTTATTTTGTTTCAGAACTGAAGAGGGAATTGGTTCTAGAAAGTAACCCAAAATGGGAAGCTTTGAGAGAAGTACTGAAAGAGATTGAAAATGAGAATAAGAACAGTGAAGACCTTGGTGGTCCAGGTGAGAGAATACTAAATGATGTACGTTTTCACAGTAGAGCTAGTTTTTACTTCTACTTGACTTTTGAGAGAAGGAGCCTAACTCTTTACTGTAGTTTTATTAAAGAGCTATTTTTAAATTTAATAATTTGTGGATTTAAGGACTCCATATGCACTATGGACATAACTATTTAGTTATGTAAAACTAAATAGTTTTACATAAATTCTTATTTAGTTCTTGCTCTAAAAGAGAAATGCTGTTGGCTACTATGCAATACTGTTTAGGAAAGAACTTGTGTTATTACAAAAAAAAAAAATCACTTAAATTTCAATATTGTACTGATATCTTAATCTCAAAACCAATAAAACTAATAGCATGGAAATTTATAATAATCAAGTTACCATTCATTCATTTCTCAAGTTCAGGTTCAAAAAACAAATAGGGAGTCTGTCTTATGCCCTTTTCATCTTACACATTCTTCTCATGCACCTGTAAATTTGCCCCTCCAGGAGAGGTGCCTAAATGGGGTAGAGAGTAGAAGGCAAGTGTGTTTCTAACTGCTTTGCTGCCTTTCCTGTTTTAGGACTTTCATCCCCTTAAATTCACCAAGTTTTATTTTAGGAAATAGTAAGGGTAAAAAAGTGCTTTTTTCTTCCACCCACAGTGTTCTGACTCTGGATAAGAACTAGCTCTCTCACCTAGTGTTGTAGGAGTTTATCTGAGTCAGCTTGTGGAAAATTGTTATTCAAGGCCCACAAATGTCAATAATACTGTGTGAAACATGTATTTTTTAGACTCTTTAACACAGCTGACAAAGGCTGAAAATTAGAATCGTCTAAATTAAGTTCTCATTCCACATTTAAAAAAAAAAAAAAAGTAGTAGTTGTCCAAGTATGTTTCAATACATGCTGTATCTCCCTCATTTCAGATGGTCAAAAGGAAAACCTAACTAATTTAGATGTTGTAAGAATAAGGAATGCTGAACTTTCATTTAACCTTCTCTAATCTTGTTTTGTACATAACATCATGCAATTTAGAATCCCTGAAAGTCCAGAGCAACTGTGACAACCAAATGTAAAGGCAGGCATGCTTTTAGGATCATTAAAAACAATTCACTCAAGAGATGTCTTGTAGCTGGATAAGTACAGCATAACAGATTATAAACATGATACTGTTTCTCAACTGCAGGGCAAGTGCTTATTTGTGCCAGTGATGACCGAGCTTGTGCACAGCTCAGGGAGTATATTATTGCTGGAGCAGAAGCTTTTTTAACAAGACTGTATAACAAAACCTTCGGAAAGGATGAGAAAGCTGGAGAAGTGTGGATTAAGGACAGGAAAGCCATCAAGTCCAAAGGAAATGCCAGACCAGACACAGGGCCTCAAGCCAAAAAAGCCAAACTCACGGCTTCTTCAAAACAAAATAAACACAAGAAGCAGCAAGACCGGACTATAATCCAAATGATGGGGAAGACTGAGGAGGAAAAGAGAGAGGAGTCAGAAGTGGAAGATAAGACAGAATTAAGTAGTGGCCAAGAAAGCAGTATTGAAGAGACCATTCCTGAAGATTTCCATGTGAACTTACCCTCAGACTGTTACTACGGTATTTTTAAGAACCCGCTCACAATTATTCATCCGTTGCAGGGTTGCAGTGATCCCTATGCGCTCACTCGGGTACTGCATGAAGTAGAACCAAGATACGTTGTATTATATGATGCCGAACTAACTTTTGTTCGGCAGCTGGAAATCTATAAGGCAAGCAGGCCTGGGAAGCCTTTAAGGTAAGTTGACTTGGTCAGTCTAATTTTAATCTTAAATGAAAAAAGAAAAGTGCACTTTCAGCAGTCAAGGCAGAACGTGCATCTAGTGATTTCCTTTAGCTACCTTTTAATTCCTGTTTAGCCCTCTTCTTAATTTTAAACAAAAGCATAATGTCTGGTTTAACAAAAAAAAAAAATTACTTCCCAGCAGGTATTTAGTCCCCTAACAGGAAAAAAAAAAAACCCCGTTAAAAAAAAAAAAAGTTTATTCCATCTTCTACAAGACCTCTGCTTAGATGATATTAATGGCAAAACCCATCTCTATGACTTTTACGCAATAAGCTTAATTTTTGATTTAATTTTCACATTTCTTGATGCCTGGTCATGCAGACCAGTAGTTCAGAAACCGTAACAGAAAAACAAGTAAAGGAAACTGCAATACAGAAAATGAGAAGTATTTGCAGTTATACTTGGTTTTCATTTTAGCTAACAGAAAGATTTCTGCATTGTGTATATATAATTGATACATTTGTAAACTGCAAAACTCACTTCTATGAACAGATGTTACAGACTAACTAAAAATATAGAACACTTAAAATTTAATATACTATGAGGTTTTGCATTATCTTTCATTTATATAGCTGTCTGATACAGCATTTCTTGAATCCAGTAAACTGTAGTTATACCTGTACATCTCTGAAAATAACTTATGGCAGTTTCTGAAGTCTTAGAATAAACACACTTTACTTACTACAGTTGAAACACAGTTTATTGACATATACAATTATTACCTTTTGAATTATAATGCTTTATACTTTAACCACCTTGTGAAAATTATTTGCATAAATTTAACAGAGCAGTTGTAATTTTCCAGTCAAAGATTTGTATATATGCACTGTAACTGCAAATCAAAATCAGTTTGGCAGTATTTAGCGTTTCTGTACCCAATGTCCAGGTAAGGACTCTGTAGTGCAGATATAAATGACAGAACTCACAAAGTATATTGCATGAGGATAATTACTGGGTTATTTGTACCATTTATTTTTAATTGACTAATCGCCATGTGTTGTATCTACCTCCGGCATCACATTCCCATGCTTCAGAGCAGGAAAATCAGATGCAGTCATGCAAGTAGGGGGTTAGGAGATGCACTGTATGAAAAAAGTAATAGGAATAACATCCTATCGGTCTGTCAAACCATACCTCAATTAAAATATATTGGAAAAAAATGACTGTGCTGAAAAGCTATAGACAATTAATTCCTTAAGGTAATCATTAGTTCCAACTTGTTCCATATAAACCCCTGTTTGCGGAATAAAAGTTGATTTGTTGGTGTGTTCATCTCTGAGATAAATGACAGCTTGTTCTTTGTAGAACCTATGATTTCATTGTACAAATATATCACTTTAAAATCTTAGATTGTGTTTTTTCCTAACCCAGGATGATTGCAGATTTTTTAGTTTGTTATAAATATTCTACTGGGAAGATTTTAAAAACAGTAAGAAACTAACTTCTACATTATACTTGCTTTGTGTCTTGACTGAATGGCTGACTGAAATCTGAGTCCACTCTGACTGAATCCCAGAATTCCAGTAAGCGTATCTGTCACTGGGAAAAGAGGGGACACCAGATTTAAGAATTTTTGTTGCCGATTTTGGAATATATTTATAGAAAAAGATACATTTTTTTCACTTGCCTTTTTTAAGGCAAATACTAACTCGTCAGGCATGTACTGTTACTAATCTTAAATATTGGTTGTGGGTTTTTTTTAACTTATTATGAAGTTTTGTGATTTTTTTTTCTTTTTTTATTCTTTTCTTTTTTCTCCCTTCCAAACCCACAGGGTTTATTTCCTCATATATGGAGGCTCAACAGAAGAACAGCGCTATCTCACAGCTCTGAGAAAAGAGAAGGAGGCCTTTGAAAAACTCATTCGGTAATAAAATCAGTGTACTACCTTTATTATTAATGTTTCATTTGATTTCCTTATATACTTACATTTTAAAAGAGTGAAGTTCTTAACTGTGTGAAGGCTTTAAATAAACTTTTAATTCACTTGCTTTTCAGATGTTAAGAAAAATTTCCCACTAAGAATCAATAATAAGTCAAAACCATCCTTTTCAAAGTATCTGATATTTTACTTATTAATTTTAGGGGTTTTAATATGAAATTTCAAAGGCTAAACAGCACCACTTCTATTTTTCCCTAACTGTCTATGAATTTCATTTCTATAAATGTGTTTTTGTCTGCAAGTAACGTTTCTTTTAAGGTATTTCTAAGGCTTTTATGACTTAAGTCATTTTAGGGAAGAAAACAATTGTTTTCACAGACTATATAAGACAGTATTTTTACTGACAGTGTCTTCTCACCAGGTTATACTACCCTGAGAAGTTAGAATAATAAAAAATTCAGATGCTAAAAAGTGCTAACAATTAAAAAATATAGCATCTAGCCCAACAATCTGGAAAACCTAGTCAATTGCATTTCTGATCGGGTTTGCAATTAGTATTAAACTATATATAATTTTACACCTATGTCCTGGTTTCAGCTGGGAGAGAGTTAAT